CGACAATCATCGTTTTGGTGTATACCCGAGCACTATCAATAGATGCTCCAAATGGTACAGGGGACAAGGAGCTGAATGCAGTCATTCTGGATGAGAAGGGCGTGTTTCTGTGGCGACCACGAACAATCTAAGGATTGTGTGCGATAGAATTTGCAGGTAGTTGACGCGCTGGTTTCACTGGATGTCACGAGAGATAGGAATCAGGGGGGCTCTTTTGGACTTATCAGAGCCCATTGCTATCCTGAGTTTATTTTCACTTTGAAAATCGTTGCTGGGCCTTCCATCAAGTAGGAGCTCCCGTTTACGAGGCAAGGGTGGTTCAGTACTAGTGCAGCATTGATGCAGAACCGATTTTTTCGACTTTGTCGGCTTAACGGTGGTAGAACAGCATTTCAGATCTGAGCTCGATAGGGTACGCTGTCGGATCCGTTCTAGAAGCTGAGGCTTGCATAAAACACATTATGTCTAGGGATTCGTTGAAGAAACCGCTCTAAAATGAGCTTGACGAGTCCTACTCGCCACATTGCGTGCCACAGTCGATGGTTCCTCGATGTTTCTGAGGACCCGTATAAACACAAACCAAGGAATTTCAAAAATTGCATGGATGTCGACGATTCAGAATGGGACTGTGCACGTCACTGCATTTTTGTTTTCAAAGAATTGCACCTTGCTCATCCTAGGCAACTCGAAGTCGCTGTCTCCGTAATTTTGGCGCACCCTGTACAACACCACGAGCCGAAAGGATGAACCTTGAAGCACAAAAGCAGAAAATTAGTCAGTTGTGAATTTATCGATTATAACCCAATTTCGACGAACTTCAATCACGAAAAAATCCCCAGGTGTTGAAGGCGAAGGACAACAGTTCCTGCGAAACAAAAACATGTAACCTTACCGTCTCGAGCTTCCGCACTTCCACCAGCTTCTTCAGGTGGGACGATGAAGTTGTCTCGAGGCAACACCTAAAGCACTCACACTAACAATATCACGATAACTTCGAAATTCCTCAAGAGAAATCTCTCGAAAATAACAGGGCCATCTGTTTCGTGCTGAGCCTATATCTTCGTGCAAACCTTGCAGTTCAATTCGATCTCACTACTTATGTTAGAACGTAGAGCTTCTAATAAGAGCAACCCCGCGCTTACATCGATAATAAAAGTTTTGGATATGAAGTGAAAATAAATTTTTTCATCAAATACCCCAAAGCTGAGATTTGGAAACACTAACAAGTGAGCATCATCAACTACGAGCATGTAAAAAAGAGTCACACTTACTTTCGTATTTGAGAGCACAAACGGAACTACTGGAGTACTGCTAATCGGTTTCGGACGAAGGCGAGGTTGAACCGAGGTTGTTTGCATAGCTGGATCATTGGACGGTTTGTCGGGAGCAAGTGAGACGATAAGTTCTGCTAAAATGGATGACTATCGGTAAAAAAAAACTAAACTGATTGTGAAGGACGAAAACGCCTCACGGTGGCAAAAAGGTTTGGTTACATTTCTCATTGAAAGCCTGTTCGCTGTCAATGAATCATCACACTCTTAATCAGAACGCTGCCATTGTTCTAATGTTTCGTCATTGTATGTATGACTTCTGCTCTAAGCAGTTACTCATATATAACCTTAAGTGAAGCTCAACAAGATTTCAGGAAGTTACTGTCTTCCTGTGCGCGAAGGTGAGTCTCCTACATAATTTTGGTGCTAACGAAATGTTCATACTTGTCCTTTGTATAGCTTCTCGAGCTCAAGCCTATTAAAGATCGGCAACGACGTTATTTTGGGGACGATGTTTTTAATATTAGGTCGGTCCATAAGTCTTGCAACAAACTGGCCGAATTTTGAATTTAATATTTTCATTATCTTTTTGTTCCATTCATCCGGCATGCTACCCTCCATCAATATCTACAACCTATTGCCAACACACTAGTAGCTGCTCGATGCCTCCCTTGTAGGACTCTACTGAATTCTGATCGAAGAAAGATCAGATGTCGATTTTGACATCATCATAGTTAGGATGAGCTTTCTTCTCTAGGAGATGGTTTGGAGAGGGGAGCAGAAGGGCATTATTTGCCACGAGGTCAGGGCTATAACGTGAATACGGAAGAACTCTCCGTCCCAGAGTCTCGAAATTTTCCTGAATTTTCTTAGCAAGAGGTTTTTCAACGGTGTCATACAAAAGCAAACTTTGCCTTGTTTTTCTTTCGTATTAAAAGCGTTGCATTCGAGCTGTGGATAGGTTGACTTTCGCGTTGACTGCGACATCTACACGTAGGGGTTTCCAGAGCTTAACTCCTCTCGTGTTCCACCAAAAATCCGAGAAGGCCCTACTTGGACGAGGTTGAACTTAAGCAATAAGATCTCCCGAAGCGTTTGAGCTGGACTACCGCCGCTTGTTCATTTGTTAGTAAACTGTACCCACTCCTCATCTTCGGCAAATGTGATGGATGGTCAATCGTAGAATCCCTAGTAAGTCGACTTGAACATAACGGTGTCAGATCGTGTTTGGAGCTGAATCGGGCTCAAGGCACGTGGGGACCAAACTCTACATTTTCGGATCTTCACAAGTCTTTGGAGATGCCACAGTGCTGTCTCCTTGTCGCATCGGAATCGCTCTAGCAAATGATCGATACTCTATCCAGATCCCTTTTCAACGCCGTCAGATATAGCATCGTGATTGTCAGTCACAGGGTGGTTGGAGTGTGGGTTATTTTCAAATAAAAAAAGTCAACGCTGAGCAGAGTGAAGCGCCGTTGCACTGTGGTTTGAGAGAGCTTGCCCTCGCCTATCTTCTGGCCAATCCTTGGTCTAGCATGACTTGCGGAACATTCCAAGCAGTACTCGTAAAAATTAAGGGCACCGAGAGCCCTCTCGCGAAATCGGTGTAATATCCATAATAAGTAAGCAGACAACGAGCTGGACCGTTGGCTGAAATTGCAAAGGTTGATGCTACGTCAGGAAATATGTTGCGGATTTTCAGGAGTTCTCCCTAAAATTCTATAGCATTAAATGTAGTTTGTTGCAAGACTTATGGACCGACCTAATAAATCTCATGGGATACTCTGTTATTTTGATGCCCATCCAAACCAATCTAGCCAACGAACGCTGCATAATGAGCTTTAAGTTAGTCGTAGCTAGTAGTTAAGTTAATCGTTCGGCTTTTCATGCACTCTTTTCATTATATTAGATTTAAGGGGATGCCACACTTTGCGATTGTGCAATCCGCGACAACATTTTCGCGATTGTGAAGTGTAGTTGCGATCACAGTGATCGCACAATCACGACAGCGCCACTCTCGGAACTTTCCCACTCTCACACGGAAATACTCTCGCGGTAGCGTGTTAACCGTTGCTGCTTTCCCACGCTCACGAATCGCAGACGGATCCACAAGCCCAACTGAAAATTGTAGAGCACATTCTGATCTGTCAAATAACTACATGACAGCCTTCTACACCGACGACAACAGAAGATTTTCCCACGAAACATGTGCACGAGACGAGCTCAACGACGGAGTTGATGGTACCATATACCATTACGACGTCATCTGAGCCGCCAGTCAAAAGCGGTCTTGCATATTCACAGCTAGTGTCTCTGAGAAGCTATTCACCGGCTAGGCGACTGAACAAATCACGTAACAGCTTAAGACTGGAGCGATTACGGCTATTACGGCGGTTACGAAGGAAGGGAGATATCCTCCTATTTTATGGATGAACAGGCTGCTAACAAATCAGGGTAGTTCGCAGGATTTATGCCATCAGTGTTTTGCAATGGCATGATTGTGGTACACCCCAAAAGCTATGTGAACATCTACTTACCAGGTTAGCACACTTTCGGTATTCGGCAAGGAGCAGTAGCGGCAGCTGGCGAGCAGCGGAGGGAGGAGAGGAGGAGGAGGGTTGCGCATGGAAGAGAGATTCCTGCGGTTGCCAGGGGACCAATCTGGTGTGTTTATAATGGATCAACAGAATTTTGATATTATTCGATGTTGAAATTGAAATTTTTGCCTCGTCATCATCATCGCATGTCCTTTTGGACTAAATACTTTCACGTATCGAGATAAATATTGCGGTTTATTGCTGAAATTGCTCTATGATATTCATGTTTTTGCGCATCAAGCACAACAGATAAAAGGACGTGCTCGTGAAATCGTTCCTGTCCCCGAAAAAAGCCAAAACGCGAGCTGTCATCAACTTGTCAAAGCGCTGATCAACAACTCACCTTGCTCTTCATGGTACTCTGGTGGAGGTACTGCATTACTGTGTTCATTCTTCAGCTCGTCACCAAACGAATACAGACTACCCGAAAGGAAAGACTGCACAGCTGCACTAAGTGACGGCTTTCGACAATTCTGCAAAGGAAATTCTCTCTAATTGATAAGAAAAAAAGAGGTCAAATACATACTCGAACATTCCTAACAGGGCAGGCACGATCTGCAGCGGAGAAAGCCAGCACTGAGCACTGATATATTGATGGTCTTCTATCCACATCAGCATTCAGAAGACATTCTTGAAAACGAAACAATCAGAGTGTTGGGCTTATCTTGCAAATACGGCTTCAATTGTTGATAAATAAACAGCCAAACATATGCACGACGAGTTGAATCAAAAGAGAAGCTGTGACTCACTTATTATAGCTTTCAAAGAGTCCGGATGTTGCGGTTCGCTTGGAAATGAGAACGCTCCATTCTGGATCGCCATTGCAGATTCCCCAAACGGAAGGCAAAAGTAGCACAACTTGTAGAGCATTACTCCCATTGCCCATGTGTCAGCTTTTGTTCCTTCAAATCGTGTATTATGTCATCGCCAACTGATTTTCACGAATGCTATTTCCACTTGAGTTCGTCGTGAAAACGATAACGATGGACGAACAAACTTGTTTTTTTTAGTATTTTTTGTTCAAAGTCACGTAAATGCAAATATCCAGGACACCTTAGCCTCCTCAACTTATTCCCAGTCAAAACTCAAAAATTCGGAAAAAAATTCGCCTTCTCGAACGCCTACAAATTACTGCAGGACAACGTCTGGATTCACAACAAACACAAATGAACGGATCTATAGATTCAAATGTTTCAAGAGTAGCTTGTTCATGATTCTTACTTTATACATATATTCTTTTTTTATTCCTAGGCAATGAACCTTCATAACACCACTTAATTAATAAACCACTAAGGGGGGGGGAGGGTAGAGAGTTGTTTGGTTGTGAGGTATCGACGAGTTGGGGTGTATGTGGGCGCACCTCAGTGGAAATTGCCGGGTCGACATGTTGAACTTCCGTTAGAAGCTAAACACGGCAAAGGAGTCAATTTACTAGCTTCAGTTCAACGGCATTCTTCCTGCTTTAGTTAGTGTTACTATCTCACAGTCCTGATTATGCAACCTGATTCTTGACATCTTTAGTGCCTGTTTATCTTATGAGACGTGCTCCTAATTCATAATTTCTTGTCATTGTCATCCATACATTGTATCTACATTTTTTTTCACTTTTACTATTGTCATTTTGTGTTTCAATTGAATTTCATTATACTTCCTGTGCTTCAATTGTAAACAACAGCTAAATAAATGAAAAAAAAATCTTCACAAAACGGAGCGCAGGTAGGATTTGAACTGATCACAAAAGATGAAAGGGTAGTGCTGGTCTTGACAAAATTCGAGCCGGGATTTGACCCTCAGCAACGCTAGTGACGAGCCCATATACCATTACATCGTCTCCGCCTCTCTTACGTAGAAGAAGATTTAATTTACTTTTTGATTCCAACATAAGGTTTCTACAAACTGCCTTTCTGTCAGCATTCTTTTCTTTCTTTAGACGAACACATGAACACAAACACTGAACGAGAAACTGAAAAAACTTACCTAAACTACAACCGGGATTTTCACAGATGAAAAGATTCGACATCTACTCATGGAACATTTCATAATTTATCAAACAAGGATAACCTACCGATTGGCTTCCCACAGTATAGGTCAATCATTTCGGGTGATCTGTAGCTAAGCGTTGTATACTTTTCTATCTCGTCTTGGATGAAACTTATTGAATAATTGTTGCTCGATAGGACCTAAAATTTAACAAAACTACAGCCTAGCATAGAAAGAACAGTCGTCAAATTCTAAAATATGACGCACTTTTGTTGTTGCGCTTCCAAAATCACAAAGAACATAGATTGGAGGTGCTGCACGATTTCGTTCATCTACGAGAATGTTTTCAACCTGAATTTCGCGGATTTGCGATTAATTTTTTGCAAATATATTGTTTGTTTTACATTGTTGTATTCAAACTATAGCACGTCGCGAATGCATTGTACTACGCTGGGATGTTTCTGGCTAGACCTTGTTACAAGCTATAAATTACCTTCAAATCACGGTGAATTATAGGCGTCACGGAATGATGCAGCCTCGCAACAGCTTCACACATGTCACAGAAGATGGAAAGCACTTCGCTACTACGAAGGCTTTGCCCAAGCAAAAGGCGATCGTTCATTAATTGTAAGACGCTTGCTGAAACAAGTCAGCGTAAAAAAATAATAAAGGTACATAGAAAATGTTGCGGCTCCCTTAAACAAGATTTTAAAGGAAATATTGAAAATACTAGAAGTCAAAGTCTGGTCAACATGAGAGAACGCTTCGGGAAATATGGATTAGGAAAAGTAGCCCTTCCCTAATCCATGGATTCAAAACCCCACCATGGCGAATTCAATGTTGAATTGAAAAACGGACAAATAAATTCTTCACGAACTGAGCAAGCAACAGCGAGATCGTCGGTATGGCTGCCGTCGGCACTTTGCATAACAAGAACAGCCCCTTCCTCAACCTTACTGTGAAATGCAAAGGGAAATGAAGCCCGCAAGAGAACCGCAAGCACCGACACAGTAATTGGAAATTCTCCAATGCCACTCCAACTCGGAAATGTACCAAAAGATGATGATGTTGAATGTTTAGTGTTCTGCTGCAGGCCTGGTTTAACACAGCTTTTAGAAAGCTGAAGTAATTACAGCAAAAGAGTAAATTCAACTAGACAGATGCGCTAGAATTTTTACGACTACACCTGGTTTTATTCAACAAGAAAGGAGTCGACCTTAACGCCGACACGTGGCCACACGCTGCACAAGCGGTGTTACAAAAGCTGAAAAGATTGGGAAACGGAACCCGATCTCATTCACTATATTGGCCAGACCTCTTCCTGCCGACCACCACTTTTTCTAAAACTCAACCACCTCCTGAACAGAAATCAAGCCCGGGTAGAACATGAATTGACGATCCATTGGCTTTAGAATCCCGATTTTATCTACAGGAACAAGTGTACCCCATTCTTGTTAGCAAAGATGTCTGGATAATGA